GATCAAAAAAAAATACTGGGAAAATCCTGCTTCTTTGGCTTGCAAGTAGACCACTCCTGCCCTCTTGTGGCACTGCAAGCAGAGAGCACTTCACCTGTGCTCAGGTTAATTTTTAAATTCTGGGTAATCCCCAAGGCAGAGGTGGTCATCCTGCAGCACGCACAGCAGGTCAGTGAAGGGGAAGGGACCAGAAAGCAGACCAGGCAGGAGAAGGCGATTGGATTGGCACTCCAGGAGGGTGTGGAGCTTAATTAGTGGCACGCCTGCCAAAACCATCACCCCTGCTGTCGTAAAGGTAGCAACGGTGCACTAGAAGGTCCTCGTTCTAGCAAGCTCCATGCACGCCACTGCCAGCACCTGGATGGACTCCAGCAATTTCAACCAGCTGCAGGTTGGCCGCTGCTGGTCAAAGGATCTTTTCTAAGATTGCAGTGCTGCGCAGGCCAATGCTGCTCTATGTACTCATCCATTGCAGGGACAGAGGTCGGGAAAGGACCTCCCAAGTCAGAGTCCAGCCCCATACAACTGCAGGCAACAGTATACGAAATGTTGGCCCAGCGGTATCCATAAGACTATCCAGGCCAGCCCCGTCCATGCACCTCCACCCCAGGAGCACCCCTTCAGCATAGGATCATTGGTACAGGATGACGAACCCCAAACCCTCACCTATGACAGGACCTACTTCTGCTTCTTCATATCATTGCAATAGCACCTAGATTTGCCAAACCACACCGAGGGCCTGGTTTTCAGAGCAAAACTCCTGAGGTGGGGCAGGCAGCGAGTGTATCATCTAAATAGATACAGCAGGAAGAGCAAATAGAAAGACAGAAAGATGAAGCGACTTGCCCAAGGTCACAGAATAGATCAGTGGCCGAGCTAAGAAGCGCATCCATGCCTCCCTCCTGTAATCCCCCATTGCCCAGGCTCTGGGCACCAGAGCACACTTCCTCTAGATTAAATCGGTGTTGGACTCTTCACGTTACTAAGAAGAGGTGCCATGATTTACTTGAGGACTAATAGATTTAGGATTATTGTCTCTTCAAAGGGATCTCTGGCTGCATTCCAATTGCTATCTTGCTTGCAAAATTATTTTGATCTCTTCTGCAATCACCTCAAGAGATAAATGATAATGTTGCATGTGCTGGTTGCTACATCTCAGGTTCTAAGGTCAACCTGGATGTAAATGAAGCTAAACATAATAAACCACACCCGATTTGATCTGTATTGCCTTGCCCTTTGGTTGCTGTCTTTTTAATCTCCTGTTTTAAAGTTCAGCTTGAAATATAATTAGTGAGAACCAGATGTTTAGACTTTTATAAATTGTTTCTGAAGTCCTTGATTGTACAGGGAACATTTAATAAAAAAAGGAACAGAATGCATCTTGTTTTCCCCTAATGATATATTTACATCATTTATTTTAATACATTACACATTTCCATGCTTAGTTCTATCTGCATAAAGGTAATGTTTACCTTTTAATTCTTCAAAATGAAAATAGTCCCTATCTTCTTTATCGTAAAATCGCATACAAGATGGCTTTCAATACCAATATGATCAAACACTAAATCACTAATCTGTAAATGTCACAGACCTTTCCTTTATATTACAATACTTGATGCATCCTTAGATTACACTGAACATATTGTTTCATGCCCTCTTAAAAAAAAACAACAAGAAATGTTGATCCTATTTAAGGAAAATTTCACCTGTGCCTTTACACATATAAAAATAACAATGCAAACAAAACCCTCGGAAAACAACCATCTGGTATTTTGAAGTCTGATTTTCAAATGCTTATTTGATTATTTAACTTGCGGGGGGGAAGAGGGGTGAATCCATATTAGAGATTAGCATGACATTAATAAATGGTCCCAAACCATGCAACAGGCAGGGCAGAGATGCACTTTATAGACTCACCGAATCAGAGATACATAAGCTTTCATGAGCAAGAGCTCACTTCATCAGATGCTAGGACTCTTTCACCAGCCATTTTAAATCAGAAGAATACGTTTGAGCCACAGGGATCTCTTAAGAAAAGATCACAACTATACCTATCAGGGTTTAGAGCGGGGGG